ATCGGTTTTCAAAATTCTATTTCTTTTTCTCAATCTTTTCCATTTTTTATTAAGTTTAACCTCTTTCCTTTCTTTTCTCTTTCCTTCCCTTTTTCCTCCTTCCCCCCCCTTATTTTTTTTTCCCCTTTTTTCCCCTTCCTCTTCCATGTTTTGATTTTTAATATATCCTCTGGAAAATGCTTATAGTCCCTTAGCACGTACGGACTTGTGCTACAAATGCTATCAAAATCAAAGCTAATACTTGATACACAAAATAGGGATAGTCATTCATGCTTAACAAATACTTTTATCAAAACAAGGCAAGCTTCATCAAAACGTTATAACATAGCTTTATTAAAAATACCACTCACATAGTTCTTCAAACGTCGGGGTCAAGCGAGAGTCCAAGTCCTACAAACACATGGCAAGGTCTATTGAATGCACTCTCAAACAAGCTTTACATGAATGCAAATGATCTTGGCATTCCTTCAAAACTAAGTTGGGCCAAACAAAACACTGTTTCTCATCTCGGGAAAACATAATGGGCACCACCCAGGTCTTGGTCAAGGTCCCACATCTCCTTGCAGAGGTGTGGTCCCGATGGCCACATTCAAGGAAATGAAGTCAGGAAAATCTGGGTTTCCCTCTGCTGAAGAACATGAAAAAACATGAATGCTCAATCACAACTTGTTATTACGAAATCTGGGATTTCATGAGATGAGTTCAAAAACATGGACCTGGATACCCATACTTGAAGATCTTATAAAGACAAACACAAAAACATGAATCTTGATGCAAGCTTTCGGATCAAACACAGCTTTTATTCAAGAACACGTGAATATCACTTTCTCTTTCTAAAACCAAACTTTAAATCAATGCATGGCTTACAAATCATGCTTGATCATGCAATGCAGCTAGATGAACAATAAGAACAACAAGATCAGATCAAGATTCTAACCTTAAGACACGAATTTAACGGCTCAAGGTGTGAAGATCAAGCTTGGAAATCTATTCCCTCTCTAAGAACTCCTCCTTCTTCTTCCTAGAGCCTCTCTCTCTAAAAGACAAGGATATGATACAAAAATGATGTGTTTCTCAATAGCTCACTAACTTAACCCTCTGCTAGGACACGTGGCATCGGCTGGTTGGCTCTTCTAAAAAAGATGATTGAGTGAAAAGACAAGACTATGACAAAGTGTGTTCAACAAGCAAGATGGCATAGGCACTCCGGCAGGTAATGATCTCGGCTAAGGACAACGCTTTGGCAAGTAAGGTCTCAATGATCTCGGCTAGGAAGGACAACACTTGGCCTAACTATGCCACACCTTGGCCTAGATGTGCCACACCTCAGTCTAGGTCGTACCAGTCTAGTGACAAGATCACTTTGGTGTAACATCTCGGCCTAGATAATACACATCTCGGCCTATGTGTAAGGGCGAGGGTGGAGGTCAACCAAAGTAGTTCCAACATGGTCCTAGGTGTAAGAAGTTCAAAGGTGCAACCTAGGCTTAAGATAACCTCGGCTAAACTCATACCAATCAAGGAACAAAACATGCAAGCAACACTTATGCGAAACAAATCAAGGTTTGCAAATGCAACTCAACAAGACAAGATCATGTAGATACATGCAAGCATGACTAGAGTAAGGTGAGGGTTGCTACACATAGAGAGAAAAATCATTGACCATGGATGAAGATGTGTTAATTTGTAAATCTTGGTGTCACATTTCTAAAGACCCAATTGTTGGTAATTCACAATCATATGCTCACTTTTATGGGAGAATTTATGAAAATTATTGCCTGCTTTAGAATGATCAGTTAAGAACACATGTGTCTATCCAATCTCGATGGGGTATAATCATGAAATGTTCCAATAAATTTCTGCCTCGTTTAGGAACAGGCTAATTTAGTAACTTTTTGGCTATTTAGCTAAAAAGGTAGGTAAAAAAACTTGTATGTTTGGGATGACTTTTTGGCTAATTACGAAAAGGTGTGCAGAAAGTAGAGAGAAAAGAGAATCTTTAACTTTTTGGTATGAGTTGTTGGCTTTTTGGCTAATTTAGTAACTTTTTGACTAATTGGCTAAAAAAGTAAGTCCCCAAACGGGGCCTTCGTGAGTGTTTAGCACAAGTCAAAAATTTTCACCTAAGTGGGATGTCTCAAGTTGATATAGTTGGTGTTTGGGAAGTGGCTTTTTTTTTTTTGTTTTTTGGCTATTTTAGTAGGCTATTTTAGTTTTTGTGTTTGGGAAGTTGGGTTAAATTTTTTAGTTGATTTTTGTATTGAAAAATGTGTTTGAAATGATGTTTAAAGTTGAAATGACAAATTTGTCCCTAACCTTATTTTTTCCAAAATTGACCTATAGGGGTAAAAGCGTCATTTCACTGTTTGAAGCCTACATTGTTTGTGACAGTGTAGGCTAATGTGCTGCTGGACAGTCGATGCTTTTCCATATTTTTCTTTTTTTTAAATCAATGGATTAGGTGGGATAATTTAAGGCTAAAAGCCTTTTTTGTAATTTGGGACTACAATAGCCTGTCTTCCTTGTTCCCAAACACCGCCATAGTAAGATTTCATCTTAATTTATTATGTTAGTTTTTTATTTTGTATCGTATAAAAATTAACAAATTAATTAATTTAATATTTTCTCTATACAGATGCTTCAAGCAAAACTTTTATACTATCAAGATGAAAAGAAATATTTTGCTTTTGAACATTGTTGGCCAATCTTGCAAAACAATATCAGGTGGCAAGATGTAACTCCTACGAACACAGTGAAGTCAAGGATACATATAACGTTTTCCCCTAATTCAGCACCCGATTCCCTTATGGATAACTGTATTTCTCTTGAAGATGACAACAGTCCAAGTGTTGGTAACAATCCAACTATCGGTAATAATCCAATCGGTGAGGGTAGTGTCTCTGTAAGGGATAAAAGGCCTATGGGTAAGAAAGTTGTAAAAGAATTATTTTGGAGAAATCAAGTCGTTGAAGCTAAAGTCCACAAATTTAGCAATGTGTTGGAAATATTTAATCAACACCATGCTGAGAAAGAAAAGAAAAAAGGATTCAAGTACTGCAGGAGATGAAAGAACTTGAGATCAAAAACAAGAACATGAGACCAAAGATGAAGAACATTTGATAATGATTACAGACATTTTTCATTTGGACCCTTAGATGAAAGCGTATTACATAATGCGAAAAAATGAGATTTTCGCCAAGTGGTAAGCAAATGTCAGCAACCCAAACTACTATTTTTTCCTGCCTCCTGATGAATAATTATAGGAGAATGCATTTTTTAATTTTCCAATGATATTATTTTTTAATGTAATTTGTACTCTTTATTTGTAATGTCATTTTTATTTTGCAATATAATGTAGTGGTCCATTTAATTTTGAGTATTTTTTATGTTCCAATGTGATTTTATTTTTTTGTAGTGGTTGTTTTTTTGGTGGGGGTGAATTATATTTAATTTTTTTTCAATTTATTTTTTATTTTTTATATTTGTTTAGTAAGTATAATGTAAATATATAATTTTTTTTTACAAACAGTTAAAAAAAGGTCACAAAAGACAAAAAATAAAAAAATTAAAAAACTTATATCCGAACAATACCTACAAACTTAGAAGGGAAGTTGGTTGAGATTTGTCAAAATAGCATGTGTATTATTAGAACACTATTAGTGTAATTTGACAAATCACTACTATTTGTTGTCAAATTATATCAATAGCAATAGTATTATAGTAAATATCACCGGAGACGCTCTTATATAATTTTGTATTTTTATTTTTATTTTTATATATTAAATAAAATAGCTAACAGAATTAAAAAGATACAAAACCTAATTGAAATTGTCGAATGACAGGATAATTCCGCCCAAACGGACCGTGTCACCCTTTGCTGGCGTGTGGCTAACTAGGTGTTTTGAAAAGCCAATTAAAAATTAGTCTTTTAAATTTTTTTAATTTAAAATATATACATATATATATATATATATATAATGTATGAGATGAGATGTAATTTAAAATAAATTAAAAATTAATAAAAATATTAAAAATTCTAAAAATTCAATCAAATATTCCACATAACCCACGTAAAATTCACATTATGGGCGTCTCACACCACATTCAGGGGTTGTTTGGAATATCTTAAATAAGTGTATTTTTTGACTTTTTAGACTAAAAAGTTGAGGAAAAAAATATGGTTATTTGGGTTAACTTTTTTACTTTTTATGAAAAAATATGTATTAAAAAATTGTATAAATTAGTGTGTAGGAGAAAATTAAGATTGAGAGTTGTGCAACCGTACTTTTTGACTTTTGGTGAATAGTGATAACTTTTTGAATAACTTTTTAAATAACTTTTTGACTTTTTGACTTTTTTTCAACTTATCAAACTTGGCCTTAATAAAATCTTAAGCAAATTACATATACCCCTCGAGATTTAGCAAAATTACAGATACCCCTAAAGTTTGAGAAATTATAGATAAACTCCTGAAGTTACTATTTGCATAATAAATTAAGAGATTAATTGTTATGAAAATATAAATCTCAGAGAATAATTTATTATAAAAATATAAACTTTAAAGGTATTTACAATTTTTAAAATTTTAAAAATATTTATAATTTAACTAAACTTCGACAGGTATATGTAATTTGTCCTAAGGTTTTTGCATTACTCAAAGATTAAGGCCAAGTTTGAGAAGACTAAAAAAATGTACTTTTTGTCTTTTTGGACTAAAAAATTGAGGTTGAAAATATGGATGTTTGGGTTAACTTTTTGACTTTTTATTGAAAAATATGTAATAAAAAATTATAAAAATTGATTTGTAAGAAAAAATTTAAATTGAGAATTGTACAACTGTAATTATTGACTTTTGTTAAATAATGTTAATATTTTAACTTTTTAAGTAATTTTTTAATTTTTTTGACTTTTTTTAAAGTCCTCAAACTTGGCCTAAAAGGTTTTTTAACCCACTTCCAAGCGAGGCCCGTATATAGCTGCTGCCGACTCCCTCTGTGTCTGTCTCTCTCAACTTTTCTTTCTACACTCTCTCTCCGTCTTCTCTTTTCTCCATGGCCAACAACCCCTTCCTGAGTTTGACTTCACATCGCGAAACTCACATTGCTAGAATGGGCAGAATTAGGGTTTCCCAGACTCTTCCTTCAGCCCCTGATCAACCCACACCCTCTGATCTTCCAACTGCGATGCTCATTGATGGAGAAGAATTACATATTGGCGGAATTGCAACGGTTGTAAACAATGAAGCTTCGCCGGCTTCGTCGACGAATGCAGATACTGAAACTGAAAAGAAAAGCTGTAAAAAGAGGGATTTGAGTGAATACAATTTGGATGGCTTGAGTTGCCCTATTTGTATGGAGCCATGGAAATCCCAAGGCGATCATCAAGTTTGGTGAGACAAGCCCTTTTCATTATTGCTACTATAGATATTTTTCCACTCATGATTTAGTTCAATCGTGTTTATATGCCAATTGGTGGTAATATTACTTGAATTACCATGCTGTTGTTGTGTAATAACTAGATTAGAGGTCAATTAGATTAATTAAGTTTTAGTCTAGGAGTGTTCAGTTTTGATGTTGGTTTTAGCTCGTCAAAAGAAGTTATGATGTTGTTTCTCGGGGGGGAAAAAAGAAAGAAAGGAGGAGGAATGGCCTCAGGAGTGAATGAATGGGCAAGCGATGCAGCGGAATATACAGGGGACTAAATATCATTCTAGTAGACAAAGGAACTCTTGAATCCACAAGAAAATAGAACCTTGAACTCACAAGGAAGAGTAAAGTATTTTAATATTATTGAATAAAGTAGTCTTGACCATAAGGGTTACACAGCTATTTATAATAACCTACACCTTGGGGCCAAGTACACTTGGACACCAAGAAATCTAACAATTTCTTGGGGCCATCGGATTGGGGGAAATCTCTTGAATCAATTGTAATGCACTTGCGGGCAAGGCCTGTGCATCTGAGGATTAGTCGGACTTTAATTCGAACACCCACACCCCAGTGCCAATCAAAAATAAAAAATAAATAAAATATTACAAATAAAAATATAGAATTTCTTAAAATCTTGTCCTACATCAACGTGTCAGGACTAGGTGTAGTTGGTGCAAAAATGGATTGTGACATCTTTTCTAGAGATTGCATGTCGTCCAGGGTGAAGGTCACCTGGTTCTTTGGTTGTCTCAATGAGGACTTAAAATCTCCTAGGCATTTGAAGTGGAAAAGAAACGCAACGAGTGTGGAAAAACAATATTGCATTCAATGGATTGAATTACAATAATTGGAGCAAACTAAACTAATTTGGAAATGGAAATTACAATAGCTAATAAAACTAAAGTTGCTAAATATTGTTGTGTTGATTGGATGATTGGTTGTACTTCTGCAATCTGACCTTATATAACCAGTCCTCCCTTAGATGCTAGAGCCACTTTCTCAACCACTTCCAGTTGGTGGGATGCTAGGTTAACTATCTCTTGTATTACTGAATTTGCTAACCACAGGAGTGAACAGTTGTTGCCATCAGCTTCTGATCATTGAATGATGGGTAGTGGAGCTCCAAATGTGATGGATGAATGCCATGTGCCCAAACCACCAGGCCATATCCCAAGATTGTTGCTCCATGGTGGTTTAAATGGATGAATGCCTTCTTGACATCACTCTCACCTAGAGAAGTCAACTAGGTAGATATGGACAGACCCTATTCTGACCACATTCTCTACATTTGATGGGTTCCTTACCTCTTCTCCATCACTAAGTCAAATTATTACTCCAAGCTCTTCAAACCTCAGCCCAACCCATTTATCATATATACACATATGCTACTTGTAATCTATGCAATGCACAAGGATTTTGTAGGTTCTAGTTTGAGATAAGTTTCATCTTGTGTTACATGGACTTTTCTATTTTTCCCAAAGTACATTCTCCAGATATAAGAAGGCTATGGGTGTGGGATATGTGGCCAATGCCTGTATCCAATGTACACACTTGGATTCTAACTTTGAGAAGATGATTCTCTTTATACATTGATTTTTACATAGACAATATGCAATATATATGTGTCCATGTCCCTAGTTTACCGTTGCACCAAGCAATGCCCCTCAAAATTGAGTTTTGGTTCCATAAAAAAAAAAAATCGGTAGTCTTTTCCCAGAGAGAGACTCCCAAAAATTAATTTGCACAGAAACTATTTCCAACAATAGACGACTCAGAACATAGTTTTGGTAAAAATTTGAACCAATAGCATTTTAGTTTTTGATAATGTCTGCATTTATTGTCTCATTGGATGTTGTATTCATGATTTATTATAGAAGAAGTTCATTTAAAAGTTCTCTCTCTCTCTCTAGTTTTTTTTCTTGATTTATGCTTTCAATGGAACAATGGGATTCTATATATTAAACTGATATGCACTAAACTGATGGGAGCTAAGTGATACATCTGACCATTGGTAGTTTGTATCAAGCCCTTCAGCGAAAAAATGCTACTCAACAGAGAGTTGGTCTACACCCTATCATTTTTATTCGACATAGTACTGTATAGTGAGATACATCTGATATATAAGAATATTGTCTGCATTTCTGTTTCCGATATGTCTTGCTTTGTTTTTTTATTTAGATATCTAATAATTGCAGTTGTCTTCCTTGTGGGCACATTTATGGTATGTCTTGCATCAATAGATGGATTCAACACCGTGGTGGATATTCTGCCAAGGTATTTTAACTGAATAGCCAATCCTGTAATTAGGCTGCACTAGAACAGATAGTGGAATCTCAATTTAACTTCTTTTTTTCCATGTTGTAGTGCCCTCAATGCAACGAAAAGATCACCTTGAAGGATGTTCGAAAGCTTTATGCATCACCAGTAATTGTGGTTGATGAAAATTCAGAAAAGGTCAACATCATTTCTTGTCTCATGGGATTGATGTTTGAAAGGAATTTTATAGGAACTTGTATGGATTCATGTCTCTACTTTTCTGCAGAAAGTTGAATCACTTGGTGCTGAAAATAAATCACTTGAGGCTGAAAATAGGTGTCTCAAGACTGAGGTTAGCATAGTTACATGCAAAGAAACATACTGCTGCTGAGTAGATATTGGCTTGAGCAGGTTTTATGATCATTTTTTATTGATGATATTTCTACCTGAATATAACATTAACTGAAATAATACAGGTCTGGCTATGATATCTTGGTAATCATTGCTCTGGTCTCCCTATATTGCTTGCTTTTGGGTTTAAAATTTTGGTGCAAGCTTAAGATAGTTCATGCAGATGGATATGGATTGAGTTATTGCAGAAAGTTGTGTTGGTTACCCATGGCTACCATAAAATTGGTTTCAAACTTAATTCTGGCTGTGTTTGGAGCAGTTTTGGAAGCATGATTCGAGTGCATTTTTCAATGCTTTGTTTGGTTTAAGTTTTCAAAAATTGATTCTAATGTCACATTCCAAAACTCATTTCAGATCATGTTTGGAGAGCAGAGAGTTTTTTGAATTTTGAAAAGAGCGAATTAGGTCTACCCGATCATTCTTCCGGACATCCGGGCGGTCGACCGGCCTATTGACCAGAACAGTTTTTTTTTGGTGGACAATTGGCACTTGTTATTTGAAAAAAAAAAAAAAAAAAAAGGGGATTTTTTTTTTTTTTTTTTTAAAAAAAAAAAATATATTTTTTTTTTTACAAAAAAAATTTTTTTGAGCTGCAGAAATACTGTAATGCTTTCTTGTTGTCTATGCAGAGAGCTAATCTACTTGATATTCAAGATTAGAGAATTGAGTCATAGTTGGGTGGTTGTGTTTGTTACATTTACATAAAATTGGTTGCAAAATTTATTTTCTATTTTTTGTAAGTTATTGAGCTGCAGAAATACTGTAATGCTTTCTTGTTGTCTATGCAGAGAGCTAATCTACTTGATATTCAAGATTAGAGAATTGAGTCATAGTTGGGTGGTTGTGTCTGTTACATTTAGTTACTATAAAATTGGTTGCAAAATTTATTTCTATTTTTTGTAAGTTATTGAGCTGCAGAAATACTGTAATGCTTTCTTGTTGTCTATGCAGAGAGCTAATCTACTTGATATTCAAGATTAGAGAATTGAGTCATAGTTGGGTGGTTGTGTCTGTTACATTTAGTTACTATAAAATTGGTTGCAAAATTTATTTCTATTTTTTGTAAGTTATTGAGCTGCAGAAATACTGTAATGCTTTCTTGTTGTCTATGCAGAGAGCTAATCTACTTGATATTCAAGATAGTTTGCTCAAAGAATTGCGTCATCTCAAGGAGGTTGGTTTGATCATAAACATAATTTAAGAGTTTACTTTCATTGCAAATTAAGTAATACATAGTTTCTGTTGATTCAAAATTTATGCCTTTGGTCATGGATCGTGGTTGTGTACATGAACGTGTAATTGTGTTGGCCATCAGATATGGAGCTAGGGTTTATGGAAATTAATTTTTGTCTTGATGGTCAAGGTTATTTTACTTTTCCATAATCCTGTGCTCTAGATTTTCCAATCTTTAGTATTTCATTAGTTAAAAATTATATATCTTGCACATGCGTATTTATCTAGTTCAGATTTATCAGACTACTTCACCAGAATGGCAAGTCACACTTGGATAACTGAAACAGTACAGATAATATTCAGCAAGAAACATGGTCCGAAAGCAATACAAGAACCATGAAGCAGGCAGGGGCAAAAGGGAGGCATGGCCCCTCAAATATTGTTGTGAACAAGAACAAATAGAAAAAAAGAACTCATGGCTTTTGAGATTTAGGATAGTTGGCACTCAATCAGATTTAGGATAGCTGGCACTCAATCTCCTAAAACACATTATAATATTGAATGCTTGCAAAATTTTGGCATCGAATCTGTCCTGCTGAGGTTTTGTTATTTTATCTTAATCTCTTTGACATTATGACAACTGCCTTCTGATAGATAGACACTTCACTTGAGTTCTTTCTTCTTTGGAAACATTTTTATACAGAACTCTGCTATAGATTTTAACTAGGGGTTGTACTACTTAGGTGAGAATTGCAACTAATAAAAGCTTCTCATAATGATCAGCAATCTTTCTCTCTCTCTCTCTCTCTCTCTCTCTTGCCAGGCTGGCATTGATGGATTTAAAACATTATTCATACTTTTAAAATACATAAATAGTACATAACCATGAGAAAACATTAAATATTTACTGACTTTATTAGTGTCAATAATATTTTGAATTCCTGTCATGTTTGGAAAGAGAGTTTGAGGGTCGCAATGTGCATTTTGGAAGGAGCAGATTTGGGTGCTCTTTTCAGGGATTTTTTGTTTGGTGATAGGGGAAGTGAAACCTTTCCCCTGATGCTATTTTGAATCATTCAGGGTACTTCAATTCTTTTGTTTCTTCATGACGCTGCATAGGCTTTTTATTTTTATGACTCATTCTCTCAAGTTGTGTGTGCCCCCTGCCCTGCTGCTTTCTAATGAATTCTCTACATATCCAAAAAGAGAAAAAGAGAAAATATGAAGAAAGTAGTGGTTGCAATCTATGAAGCATGGGCACTCCAAAATCAGTGCCGTGGCGGTGTCCGACACGGGGACACGCCATGGACACGTACGGGACACGCCAGATGGTGTGTTCCTTTAATTTAATGATATTTTTGTAGGGGACACGGCAAGGACACGGGTGTCCATATAGGGACACGGCAGGAGACACGGCGGGGCTAATTTTTTTTTTTTATTTCCTCTCTTCTCTTCTGCCTCTCTTATTTAGTGCTTTTGTGAATAATATTGTTAGATATTGAATGTTTTCCCCTTCTCATCTTAGTTCTTATTATCATTTATTATAACTTTTTTGTGAATGGATGATCTATTAATTTATTTAAATGTAGTGGTTATATTTATTGAATTAATGTTACTATGTTAGTGTTTGTTAATTTTGATTTAGGATTAATGTAATATGAATTTGCATAACACATAAAAATGTATAAAAATAAATAAAATAAAATTCGCCGTGTCCCTGTCCCCATTTTTTGAAAATTGCCGTGTCCGTGTTCGTATCCGTATCCGTATCCGTATCTGTGTCCGTGTCCGTGCTTCATAGGTTGCAATAATGTATTTCTTGTTGGAATTCAGTAATAAAGCTTCTTCTTTCATCACTCAATTTCTTTTAGTGTACCTAACATGGGATGTACAATGGTTTCGTTTTGACATTCGAATATTACAAAATGTATTAAAAGCAAATGTCTTCATTGCTTTGCATGGGTCAATCACCATGGAAGGAAGTGGAGGGATCAAATTGAATCAATCAGGATACTTGTGGAAAGTTCAGTGATAAATTTCAGTAAAAATGAAGCAGTAGGTTTTAAAGAAGTCCTTGAAGAACAGTCATTGGATTTTTTGGTATTTTTTTATTATATTTTTGAGTCTTCTAAAAGGCTTCAAAAACATTGAAGAACATACCAACGATGGACATATGTACATCAAAAGTTGACTAGGAAATTGGTAAGAGTTCATAACAAGATTCTCTTGCCTTTTTTTTTAAACTCTCGATATTCCATTGGACACCTCCTTTCCTTTCCATGAAATTTCCTGGACATTTTCTCCTCAAAAGACATGTCTTGTTGGGACCAAATTTCATGGTACATATGGAAAAACTGTCATTTGGTGGGAGTAATTGTTGTAACAGATTAGTCAAAACTAAATTACATGTATATCAAGCATCTGATTTTTTTGACAAAGTATGTTGAGTTTCTAATTCTGTGTCCTCTCTTTTTTCTTTGCTGCCAAATGGGGCTTCACTTTTTGTTTTACAGAATCCAACTTGTATGCAGAATGTAGCTTTAGAATATATAAGGAGAAAATCTCATGTTTCTGATACTGCTGAGGGTGTTCAGGAAGGAAAATCTGGTACAGATCTTATCCTGTAAATAAATCTAATGAGACAGTATTTGTATCTGTTGCTTCTGTTTTCTTGTCATTGATGCAGTTGTTATTGTTGTTTGTCTCTTCTTCTTATCTCCCTCTTGCTCTTTTTGGTGTAGAAAATTTTTCTATGTGGTTGGGCTGCTTTACCCTCTGTTTGAGCTAGGATTCTTTTGCTTTGGCTGCAGAGCTGCATCTGTAGTAGGAAGGATTTGGTGGATTATGTAACGCCCTCAAAATAATACATAAAACTCATCACTAGACATGCAATTATATAAAAGAAACCAACCATTTATATTGTTAGAATTTACCTTCACCTACACCACTACCACCTCACCTACTCCACTAAACCTAACCCACTACACCACTACCACCTCCACTTCACCTACACCACTACCACCTCCACTTCACCTACTACACCTATATCTCCTATATAAGGAGCCTCTCACATTTGTACTAAACACAACACAACAATTAGATATCAATCAATCTTGTAACAATCATCAATCAATAATACATAAATTCTTACATATATTCGTTAGAGTAGTTATTACAATAGTATTACATGTTAACAACAAAAGCAAATATCCTATGGGCTTGCAGCTTTCCAAGTCAACACCTGGTTACACAAAAGGAGAGTACTAACTTTATATAAAATAAGCCTTTGGCTTGATATACATGTAATACAAACAAAATAAACAAAAGAGTCTTCAACTCTCATCATCATCCAAGTTATGTCCTTGGAGGTGGCATACTACCTGTACCTGAAAATGATGTCCCATATAGGGTGAGCCAACGCCCAGTAGAAATATGCTAAACACAATATGAGCAATAACTAAAACGTTAGCAATTGATAAATGTTCAAGTTCCATAAATCAATTCATAATCCATTTCCATTTCATGACCGCTATGTTCATGTTTCATTTCAGTTTCCATTTCTTATCAATTACACAATTTGCATCAACGGCTCAGAACCTGGCCAACCACTTATATGAGACAGTGACTCATATTAGACATTTCCCATTTTGCAATAGACAAACATACTAGTTGTATCAACATTTCAACAGATAAGCATACAAGCTGTATTTACATTTCAACAGATATGCATATTAGTTATATCAACACTTCCAAAGATAAGCATATGAGCTGTATCAACACTTCCATAGATAAGCAGATAAGCTGTATCAACACATTAACTGACAAGCATATGAGCTGTATCAGTGGAGTCCATCCCCTATCTCCTCCCAAACAACATCCGGTTTAGAGGTCCATCCCCTATCTTCTCCTAAACCGTGGAGTACATCCCCTCTCTCCTCCCATACACACAACGTATATACACATAGGTCATATACACAATCAATCAATACATAACGTTAATGTATTCTATCAACCGTCATACTCTATGACATATCCAATCGATTAGTTTTAGTTTGCCTAATTATCATGCATTGTCTACAACAATCAAAACTACCCTCCACCGGTAATCCAAGCAATTATTTCTAAACAGATAATAAAAGCTCCAACAGATAAAATATCAATGTTTTCAAAAGTGAGCGATTAACAAATCCAACTCCACTATTCTACTATATAATGTGTCAATTTCATTATTTCCAACTCAATTTCATATAATCACAATTTTTTCAAATTAATCATACCAATTAATTTATGCAACCAATTAGGGTTTTCTACCCCATTTCCCAACATTGACCCAATGGTCTATATATCAACAACCAACAACAATATCATTATTTTGAAACTCATAATACACATTCTTGGAATCAAAATAACAAAATCATCTTTTAACATTTCGAAACCCTAAGTCCCAAAACTACCCAACTTCAACACTTTATCAAAACAATCAAAAATCTATGTCAAAGACCATAAGAGTGAGTAGGAATCCCTACCTCAAAAATCGGAGCTCAAGGGGAGAAGATGAAGAAACTCAACGTGCTCCAAAACTCAATATTCTCGGATCAAAGTGTAGTCCTCGACGATCAACCCAACTTTTACAAAGGCCGAAGGAAAAGGAAACACTCTAATTAGATCAAACCCTAGAGAGAAGGGAGTTTCTAGAGAGAGGAACTCTCAAAATGTCTTTTTAGAAAGTAAGAGAGAGAGAGAATGTAAAAAGTGATTTTAAAGTGCCCAGCTGCCAACTGATATATGACATTCCCGCTCGAGCGGAGAACACAACGCTCGAGCGTCAAGAACAGAAAACTAGGTCCGCTCGAGCTCAATAAGGCCCGCTCGAGCGCCAAGACACAAGAATAAAGTACATCCGCTCGAGCGCGAAAACCAGTCCGCTTGAGCGTAGATTTCTCCCTCCCAGAACTTACACCAAAAAGTACTACCCGCTCTCGAGTGCCAGAGTATCCGCTCGAGCGCCACCGCTCGAGCGTAAAGAAACCCGCTCGAGCGTGAAAAACATGCTTGCAGAAGTTCTGCAGAGCACCAAAATACTGGGAGCGTGCAATCTCCGCTCGAGCGCAAAAAGACCCGCTCGAGCGGACCTCTTAAAAACTGGGCAGCAAAGAATTGAAACCAAAGCCTAACCAACCTGTAACAACTCTGCCCAATACATCTTAAAACTCAATCAAGCGGAATTAAAGGATGACAACAAGGTATACAACCACCAACATCACGGAAACCAAGTCCGGAGTGCAATAGAACAGTAAAGGGACAACCGGGATCGCTATAGAATATATCTTGAGGGTGATATCTAGACACATATAACATGTGTAGAATTGTTTAGGCAGGCTTTTGGAATGTTGTTCTTTGGAGATTCTGAATTCAAATTCCGTATATGTAGTATAGAATTACACATGTTGGTACAAAATTGTACAGATATAGTTGTGGAAGTGTCGGATTGGTCTTGATCAGGTAAATATCGAAAGGATTGCATAGAAGACGTTGCTTTCCACAAACCAATTTTGGTTATTTATTTATTTATTTTTAACTAAGCAAAATGATGGGGAGACTTTAAGGAGAGAGTGTGCTTCTATATCTTGGTATTATTGACAGGAGAACTCTTTGTGCTTGGCCTATTGGTGGTCCAAATGTATCACCCATATAACCAAATTTTGGAACAATTGATTCCTTGATTGTTGAGTTGAGGATTCTTTGATCCATGGGAACTGGTATTCTTATAGGTTATCTGTTAACGTGGATGATGGAATCTAGAGTCAAAGAGAGAGAGATTGTAGAGAGAGTTCTGGAGAGTTTTAGAGAGAGAAACTCTAATACAAGCTCAGAAAAATATATATTACAAATGATTCAAAAGTTGGTTTCTTGAATGCAGCATGTACACTTTTAAGAAATGCTTACTGGTGCCTAAAGTACTGGAAGGTCAACGTGTTGTAGATACCTTGGTCATTTTCATCTTTTCTTGTTGTTCATAATCATAATAATCCATGCTAGCAGTTTGGTTGGCAATATGATGTCTTATAATCTGTTCAACTGCTACAGAGAACCTGTGTAGTGACTATTTGATTTATTACATCTGAAAGAATTGACTTGCTGCTTGTAATCATCTTGATATATCAACATAACTGAAATCTGAGCCAAAAGAAAAGTTGAAAAATAAGAAGATAAAATCACCAACTTCATTGAAAAACATACTTTATATTTTACCTTTTTGGTGCTATGAACTCAAATTGATTTGTATTTATCTTTCAGCTTTTTACTGATGATCTATTAACCTACTAAAACCTACTAATGTTTTATTTTGACAAGTTTGAGAATTGTGGCATCATTTACGTTTCTACAGATTATAATTTAGACTTGAATCTTGATTACACAGGGCTTAATTTTGGCACCAGAATTGATAGATGGGGCTCCTTTCGCTGCAGTTTTGTGTTAGAGGTGTCTTTTTGTGGTTTCCTTTTGGACATTTTGTAGTAATATATACTTATAATGTAATTCCTCATAAATTAAGTTGCTTTGTTGCTTGGTATTGAGGCCTACGAGTGTCTTTTGTTCATTAGTTCATGGTAAAATTACAATCATGGTTATAGTTTTCTGCCTTATAATTCTTATGTATAGTTGACTGCCGTGCATGGAAAGCGTTATATATTGCACGTGAGATGCCTACCCTCGATGCTCATATATCAAACAAGTTACAAGATGAATTGTCTTCCACTTTGAAACTTGTTAACTTCTAGCCAAGAGTCAATTCTTGTTGAGAAGACCATGAGAAGAGGATACGATAATGTAGAGAAGGAAAAGGAAAGGAAAAGAATGGAATGAGACATTGGGGTGGAAAATCAATACCCATGCGTACACCCCCCCCTACAAACACACAGAGTTTTGGAGTTGGCGCTTCTTTTCAATTGAGATAAACATAAGACATATTAGTAGTGTTTTACCTGTCATACATTGGCCAACCAATTCATCCTTCTCACTACTTGTCTTGTGCCATTATATTTTACAACGCTGTTACACACCCCCACTCCCAGTGACGTGGCGGGCCTCCATTGGCCAGTTTTCAGTTTTTTTTTTCTTTTTTTCTTTTCTTCCAATCCTGCAGTGCCACGTGGCACTGGGGGTTGGTGGGGGTGGGGTTTACTGGGGGGTCCGGCGCATTTTTGTATATTTTATCACTGGGTTAGTTGCAAGCCTTTAAGTCTTAGTTGTTTGATTTGCTGCCTGTTTATCTCAATCCATGCAATATTGTCGTACTAGTTTATGCTCAAAATAATCTGCCTTGAGAATTTTCTTATCCTTATTTCCTGTTTTGATTTTCTTTTCTTAGTTTAATTTTAATATCTAGGAAGCATCGACATGATACAAAATTTTTGAAACTTCCCTTCTTCAATCCGAGAAAAATATTATTCATGGTTGGATAATAAGGAAGAGAGAGAGAGAGAGAGAGAGAGAAATAGAAAAAGGGATAAGAAAGGGAGAGAATGAGGAGAGGCAGCTAACTTTGTGACACCCTGAAAATGAGTAGAATATTTCTTCTGAAATCTTTCGATCATGCCCTTCCCTTCCTCTTGCAAGTTGGTTATGGGATAATCTTTTGATGGCCCAGCTCACATGCACTGAAGGCACTGCCAAAATCCAAATAGCTTCCTTTGTAGGTTAACAAATTCATTAAGGCCGGAAATAAATAGGAAGATGCCTTTTCATTATAGAAGCTTTTTCAAGACCTACATTTGGTTGTTTCCTTTTGGTAAGGTTTATAGTTCTGCTGTCACCTGCTTCTCCATTTACTGGTTATATCACTAGAATTATCCTCCCAAGAAGATGTCTTTTTTCAATTTGTCATGCGTTCCTATCTTGATATCTTTGCAATTACAGCATGAGATGGCAGTAGAGAGTGCGAGGATTTTTGATATGGATTGTTATTATCAAACTCTGATTTTTGCTAGAAGGATTTCTGGGATGGGTGGGACACATATGCTCAAGAAGGTAAAGTTTTTGCTCAAAGAAGTATAGTTTATTTTGCGACATATACATTCATCCTTTATTCAGAACTTACACTCCACTCTTCTGTTCATAATCAGTTTTGAACGTGTTTTCTAGATTAACTTGACTGACCCAAATCAAAATGAAGACATAAAACTTCCTTCAAATACAAAAGCTGTTAAAGATCTACATGTCTCCCCTTGTGGGAGACTTGTACTTTTAGCTTCGATGGGTAAAAAATTATCAATTATTAGGTATACTTACTGTCTTTTCTTTTTGTCAAGAAGATATTAGTTTTTCTACACTTTCTTTCGGAGTTTAGCTGACTCAGTTTCTTCTATTGTTTCAGCATGGGCTGCAACAAAGTTGTCATCAGTTATAGTTTACCGGTAAAAGTTTGTTACTTCTTGTTTACATGTTTGTGGATATATCTTTATTCATGCTCCTTTTTCTTTTTTTCTTTTTTTCTACATTTTCAAGTTGAGCATAGTTCTTCTGTTTTGAAGTTCCAATTCCTGTGAAAATAATGAACCCTTCCAGTTTATTTGGCAGTATTTTGCAAAGTGTCATCTTGTCAGTTGAAGTACTGTCTGATGCAGTACCTATTGCATATCAGTATAACTAGGGGACCATAAAACACCAGTCCCAAAAATGAGTAATTAGTCCTAGATGACACTGAAATTTAATTGTTACAAATTTGTCCTACCTATGATGAAAAGTAGGAGTGCCAAGATCCATTTTATTTACTTTTTTCATCTCCCACTTCTTATTCTTCAGTGGCTGAAACCCTTTGCCCTCAACTTGTTGGCAAATTTTATGGTTTTGGATTAATCTGGACAGTGTCTGGAAAAGGTAAAACTAGATCAGCTAAGTGACAATAGCAAAATTTAATGGAAATCATCTAGATCTTAGTTAATGATGTTTAAGAAATTAAGCTTGAAGCTTAAACTTGAGCTCAGTTTGTTCCAATGCAGAATGAGTGGGGACGTGTTTCTAATTTAGTTATGATTAAGTTGTTCTCTCTGTATTTGTCTTGCCTTCTAAACAAGTTCTCTATATTTATGGTTAGTTTTATTTTATTTCGCTTGTTTGATTATCAATCTTTTTTCTATTAAAATTCTTAAGGAAGACAAAATCCTGATTATCAACGTATACAAACCTAAACCTATACAAACCTAAACCTCATAAAACAATCTCCCGGTTGGAAAACTAAGTCCAAAAATGCACTTTTTCACCCTTAAGCTTCAAAAATAGGCCTTCGAGGGCCAAAATC